GGTTAAACCCTTCACGCGTGGCGTGAAAGGTGTCTTCTTCATCCAACATGAACATGTTGGATGCTGTGGTCCTTGGAAGGACTACAAAGTGCTACCAGGTGTAACGGGGCACACCCTTGCGTGAACTTAACGCAAGGGTTTTGGTGCGCCCGACAGACGTACACGAGGCAAACGAGGAAGCGTAGATAAGGGAAAAAGTAAAACTGTTGTATTAATATAGTTTAGTCTTTTGTTACTGTCTCTCTGTTTAACCTGACTTAATTATGTTAATCTAATTGAGTGTATGGTGACGTCTCGTCACCACTCATTGCGCGCGTCCTGCGGCGATTGGTGGGTTGATATCGTCAAGATACCAACCAATGAGCAGACCCTTTGGTCGCTTCACCAATATCACCACTATCGGTGATATTGTTCAAAGAATATTCAACTTAATATTCTTTATTGTCACTTTCTTTAAAGTGACAATTCCATGAAACGAGCTGCCCCGTTACACCAGCGTCCGGTGAAAGGCCAGCCAATCCGAGTCCGCTAGCTTGTAGTAGTGACTAAAAACAAGCCAGAGCTTGTATTATCTTCAGCGGGCGTACAGCGTGAATATACTGTCAGCAGGTGACGGCTTCTTTGTTGCAACAAGTACGTGGTCGATCGATCATAATTCTGGTTTCTAATGGAGTTTCTGAAAAGTGACGCCAGGGCGCAAGGACTGATCAGATTTTATAAGCTTACGATATGCCTTATAGCATTGCACCTGTTGTGTCCTGTAATTTGCCCGAACCGCAGAATGCATCGTCACGATCGTGCAGCGCTGTGATATACTAATGGTATTGCTCGTAGAATTTCGACAAGAGTTTGCTCTGTAGCGACGAGGGTCGCGCTCGTCCTGAATCACAAGCGCACAGGGACTGCGGCAGTTTGTATAATCGTTTGGAGCGGTTAAAATTGCATCGAAATTCGCAGTATCTTTCCACACCCAGAGCAGGAGCTTGTGAAAAGAGCGTGGTCTTTGTGTCTTCTATAATCGTTACGTCACTGCGAAATTTCGCACCTAATTTGCGGTATTGATAATGCGTATCTGATAGTCGTCTAGTTCGCCGCGTAAAGTACGATTTGGCAAGTTTGTGTGGAGGCGGGAGAATAGGGGGTCGGGAGAATCCAAATACCATCTCTTCTGTCACAGGAGGCAGCATGTACAACGGCATTGGCCTACGCACGGTACGCGGTTCGGGCACGAATGGCTACGTCCAGCGCAATCTTAGCCACGTGGACGCCTCGCGCACGCGGCAGGCGCTGAAGATGAACAGGATGGGAGGAAGTTTGGGGGGCTATGATGCACACGGAGGCAGCAAGAATCGGCCACCTCCGAACGCGGACATTTTGCTGCACGAAAAGAAGCGCAAGGTGGAGCTTCAGCTACTGGAGCTGACTCTCGAGATGGAGGAACGCGGGTGCGAGCCTGAGGATATTCAGGAAAAGGTCAAGCGAGAACGCGAGCGGCTCTTGGCGCGATTGAATGGCGAAGACAGAGGACGAGAGAACGCGAAGGATGTTGAGAGCTCGCACGCTCGACAGAAACGCAAGGATGAAGATAACAGGAGGATTAAGAACGCGTTTGGCATTGCCTCAGACTATGTGGCAGGGGAAAGCTTTGATCCAGAGAAGAAGGAGAGGCGCCGGCAAGAGAGAAAGGAGAGGATCGAACAGGAGTGGAAAGAGAGAGAGGAAGCCCGAAAGCTACGAATCAAAGATAGGGAAGAGAAGGATGTCGAGATGAAGCCCAGACTTGAACGACCACGTTCCAGGTCGGAATCGCGTTTGGCGTCTCCCTGCCGACGGTCACGGTCTCCGGCAAATTGTCGCAGTCGTGCACTTGACGACGATGCATCGCGCAAGGATTATTTGCGCTCTTCGGTGAAGGGACGGGGTTCATCTCGGTCGTCGAAACCTCCAAAGCGAAAGCGTCGTTCAGTGTCTTCGTCAAGATCCAGATCCGTGAGTAGCAGTGGTTCCGGTGGCGTGCGCTCTCGCCCGCGTAGCCGAATGCTGAAAAAGGGGACATCTCGTGCAAAGGACACCTTGCCTCCCAAAGCGATTGGCCGTTCGAGGCCCAGCCGTGCGTGCAATTCTTCGGACTCAAGTTCTGGTTCAGAGTCGGAACGAGATTGTCATCGGTCTCGTGGCAAAAGAACTAAAGCTGCTTATGTCGGGAAAGATGTGCCTATAATCGCGTCACCGGCACAGTCTGCTGTATTGAAGGGTGAGCACAAGGTGTTGAATCTATCTGGACGCCCCGCATCGGTCAGCGCATTGACTAACGACGGATCGCCAGGCGCAGTAAACGGATGCAAGGAGTCAAAATTGAGCGCGTTTTTGTCGGCACCGGCGGCAAATTCCAAGGGAGTTGATTCTCGTGTGATGAGGCAAGAGGAGAAGCACAAAGCATGCCCTAGAAACAAGATGGAGAAGAACGAAACAAGCCATTTGATCCATCGTCCCGACAGACCGACGAAGGAGGCAATTATCGAGGCTGTGCGCTCTTCTCCCCGTCGTTCTCGCGTGCCACCAACGGACCCGCTGACGCAATCTCGGAAACGCAGACAGCGCAGCGATTCACCACCTGGCCAACGTCGTCGCGGGCGAAGCACGAGTACAGCTTCATCCAACGCCTCCCACAGTTTACGTCGTCGACGATTGCGCTCGCACTCTGAGTCACGGTCACGATCTGTGTCCTCTAAACGATCCCGGTCGCACTCGTCAGCTTCATCGCGCTCTCGCTCGCGCAATCGTTCCACGTCTCGTGTCCGTCGACGCAGCAGTCCTCGAGGAAGCCGTCGAAGTCCATGTCGTAGTCGTAGCTTTGGCCGTAGAAAGTTTCGTAATCGCCGCTAGGGCGACGCGTCGACATACGTGAGGGACAGATACACGCGAGGGACGATGAGGCGTAGCTCTTGCATTTAGCAAGCAGGCGTAATCAGTATCGCACTTTTTGTACTGGACTTTTCTTATTCGACTTTTGTGCCGTCGGTTTACAGCGGTACACAATGTCTGCGTCTGCTGTCGCCGCCGCTCCACCCGCTGCCTCCGTTACCGCGTCCAGCACCAGCATCAGCATATCAGACGACGAGAGACTATTTACCTCCGGTTCCAGCGCCAACTCTAGCTCAGACGGGCCTCCACCCGTTCCGTATGCCAAGGGTGGCTGCCCACGCGCGGTGCAGCGTCGTTTTCGGCGCGTGCGGCACTGTCTCACGCACGTGTCGATCACGTTTCCCGTGAGGCGAGCGGCCAGCGGTCTTACGGTAATTGCTGCATTGCTCATGGTGGGAATCGTAGGCACCTTTGCGCTGCGCCAAATGATGAGCCCGGAGATTGAGGCGCTCACGCAACAGCGAGAGAGACTTAAGCACGATGTGACGGTCTTGCGACTGCAGGTAAGGGAGTGCGCGAGACAGCATGCTGTGCTTATGGATGCTGCGACTGAATTGTACTTGTACCCTAGGTGGAGAACATGACTCGCATTGCCGAGAGTCGCCTCGAGACGATTCACTTGCTTGAGACGGAGCTCGAGCGGCAGCACGTGCAAGCGGCGGAAGCTGCAGCCATTGCCACTCCTGGCACCAAGCACGGTGCCGATTCGACTGTACCTTACAATGACCTGAAGAATGGCGAGTCCCATCCGGGGAGAACGCTACCTACAATTGTGTTTTCGCTGTTGCTAGGCTCGATTGTGCTTGCATCGGTGCTATATCGCATCTTTTTCATCATCCGCGGCGAGATTGTCTGGCAGCAAGCGTTCAGAAAGCGAAAGTATGCTAACGGCAATGTTGCCACTGATCCCATGATGTCGATGACCATGGAGTCGCCTTTGGATGGCAAGAGGAATGGAAGAAGGACGCCTCCGCTGTCCCCGACGCGAAATTTGGATATTGATGATCCGCAGACCAATGGGCACCAAAATGCTGTGTCTAATCCGTCCGTCAGTCCCAAAGCAAAAAGTGAACTTTCGCCGCAGTGCTATAAGCGCGCGCCAGGATCGTCTCCTACAGTGGTCTAAACGGTCTTGTTCGCAGATCCTGGTGTGGCGATTTTTGCGTGTTCAAGAGCTGGGCAGCACGCAGTGTGGTCTAATGCTGAGTATGGCAAATGGACTCGCACTTGACGCCAGACGACATCGCGAAAACATTACAGGCTCTTAAAAAGCTGGATAAAATTAAGCACTTAGTGTAAACAAAACAAAAGACTGATATCTGGAGTGCTTTTGCAGATTCGACGACGTTAGCGACTTGCAGTGTATGTAGAATTACATCTATGAGCAATTTAGCGCACTCTTTAAGCAACGAGCGAACCCTTGACTTAATCTTTTGTGAGAATGTCAGTGCGTATTTTTATTGAGAGAATCATATTCTTTGGTGCGTTTCAATATATATAATCGGTGGTTTTTGCAAACCGATTCAATGAGCGAAACATGTAACCCAAAATAAATATAAAGGATGTATAGGTACACACCCACCCTTTGATACGTACACACAGCCCTGAAATAGAGGCCCCTCCTTGAGTACCGTAACCTCTCTAACTACATACTGCACACTCATGCATACAAAATGCCATTTAAAGATGCTTTGCTACTTACACACCTCTCCTTAATACAGGACTCTTGTGTGTCAGCAAATAGCCTTGCGTATGGAATCCGCACTCATTATTCGGTACACCCCCTTAACGGTACCCCTAATACTACCATTTTCTCTATTCTAAAGATAATTCTACTTTTTGGATCAAGTTTTGAGCATACCTCTTTCTGGTACAGCGAAATTAACTGTCAACAGGGGACATTTTCACACACACACCCAGTCAAAAAAAACTGCCTCAAGTAATTATTTGCCATAATTTATAACGTAAATGCCTAAGAAACAAAGGTATCGCTTTCTATATCTAACAGCTTTGAGACATCGACCATGACTGAGGAGACCTTTCTCGTATGCAATCAAGGTGGCGTAGTACTAGACCAGAAAATGGTGGCTTGGTAAGTAATAAGATCTTCAGACTGCTGTGTATCAGTAAACGGTAAGCGCAAAACAATGCACAGATTTATTGTCATTGGATTGAATGTGGATATTCTGATGCTGAGATGTTATTTTAAATGAAACCACAGTGTCTGGTCAGCTCAACTGCGTGTGATGTACAGCTGGACGGTGATGTGTTTGCTTGTTGATGTATTGAGATCGTGAATGTCAGTTCAATGTTTTTGTTGGGGCAAATTATGTAGATGTGTTGCTGCGAGCGATTAATGTGGGTGACTCGGTTTTTTTGCTCTGTCGACTGCATCCGGACGAGGAAGCGCCGGGCGGATTGAAGTGGCAGATTGTACACGAGACGCTGCACCAGTGTCATTACTTTAACTGTCCGTACGGTATTATTGTTATGGTGGTAACGGAGAAATGGTGCGTAGCCATTGTTCCTGCTGACGTGGAACCTGCTGAGATGGTGCATATGACATTCGTTTGTATGTTACACGGGAAAAAGCGTGAGATGGGCGAAGTGCACGAGCTGAAGACGAAGGACGGTGACGTGATTATGCTAGGCACGGACGGTATGTACGTGTTTTTGATCGGTTTTCATAACCGCTGGCTGGTGTGTTTGACAATGTCTTTGTGTTGTGGTAGCTTCTAAAATCTACATTCAGGGCAGATTGCAAGGCTGCTGAACGGTACTGCCCCTACGTGCAATGTGACCAACAAATCATAGAGGAGGTCGCGTCTTGTATTACCCATATGGCGCGCAAGTGTGCGAATAACCCCAAGAGGAGGAAACCATTTGCGATGACGGTGTAGCAGGCAAAATATGAATATATTTGGGGATAGATGAATCATATCAGAGTTGTCACAAGCCTGGTCACGTCTAACGAAGCTACAAAAACGGCTCTGTAAGCCAGGCTAGGTCAGCACGGTTGAATGTACTTAGCTTTGGCAAGTGTTTGAGCGACGTCAGTATAAAGACTGGACTTTTTGTTTTGCTGTGGTTTACCCTGTTCGAAATGAGATGTAGCATTTGATATTATATTTCATAGTCGACTTTGCTGCGCACCTAGTAATGATGTAGAGGCGTTTGTTCTGATGGCTGATAATTCGACAATGTATGTTGAAATAAAACGTCCACGACCGGGTTCTTTCACCATCGAGATAGCATCCGGCGTCTGGACAGCTTCAGGTTTTCAGTAAAACGTGCTCGAATGCATTGAGATCGCGGCGAGTAGAGCCATTGCCTTTGCCACGACGCCCTCGAGCGCAAATGAAAGACCGCGAACGTTTCGTACTGGTAGAGGATCATTGACCTCCACCGATATTGGCAGTTGTGATAATTGACTAATCGATTCAAAAGAATGCGCTGTTGGTGTGGTGGTAGCTGCATATTTTTTTAAAGTACTAAGCGATCTCGAATTTGAGACAGAGCTTGTTCCAGAGTCAGATTGGCAGTATCTTCGTGACAGGTTTTCTCCTTGCTTTCAAGCCACCACTGAAGTTAAAAATCTTCCTTTTGAAACGCTCACGCGTTGCGAGGATGTCGCAAACACGATGCAAACAAGGGTTTATATTTTTTTGTGTAAAGACATTAGTACATGGCGTTAACGTCGATATACTTACCTTTTATACCTCTTCATAAGCCTTTTTAGTGCGCAAGGCGGTTTTTTGCGTCATTCATCAGCCCAAATATCACTAGAGAGAGCGAGAAGCGTATTTGCGCGGGTATAGGCAATGCTGGGCCAAATGACTTTTTCCTGATGATCAATTGCAAGAAATTTCCTCTAAAATCCTGAGCAAGATCGCCCGTCAACATTGCAAACCGAGAATTGAACGCTGTGTGCTGGTCCTCGGCTTGATTACTTGCTGAATTTCCAAGATGCCCGTACGCATTGGTTCTTGCAAGTATACACTGATCTTTATAACACAGCCAAGTCCTATCGATGTTTTGCTGACGGACATAAGATGTAGAGTTTCGATTGAATCTTCACGAGTCGCCGGTTTCACATAAATCATCTTACGTCATCGTTACTGGATCAAGAAATAAATAATACCGTGAGACAGTTACATATTCAGTAAAGAATAGAGCAATGTATTTAGCAGGCTTAGAATAGCACAGTGTGTGAACTAAGAACCCAATGATTTCACTTTTGATTTTTCCGAAAAAACACCACATAAGATAGCGTTTGCAGATTCCAACCCAACTTATCTCGTATGATCGAACGTCGATGAAATAACAAAGCTTTTTTGACTATGCCTTAAAAGTTTCCCAATCTTGATATTCGAAAGTGCTTGCGGCTGTTGGCAAGTACATTCTTTGAAATAAGCCAGATGCAAAGCAGATTGTGCGCGTTGGAAAAGTGCGTATGAAGCGCAGCCATTCACGCAAGTTCAGGATCCGTGACAATTACATCAGGTAGTTGTTCGGCGATGGAAATGATTTTTACGTGATTGAGAGCCTAGTTGTAGCCTTCTTCTCGCTCGGACGAAAAAAATGTGAACGCGACCGAAAATCTGCCTTTACTTATAATCACTATGACTATGTGTAGCATTGACGTATTATATCTAAAAAGCGAAAAAATGGTCATTGCTGTCAAAATACGTCATTTAAAAAGCAGATGCGATCAACACGTGATTTTTGATCTTATATGCACCATATATGACCGTGACATCGGAATTTTTTTTCGCAAATCGAACGCATACGCTTGGTGCAAAGAAAAGCTTGGTAATTCGACCCGTGTCGTCGCGGTACTAAGCATTAAGAATGCTGTTTACCTGAAATTCATCCAGAAGCGTCTCCATAGGTGTTTTTCCAGAAAGATGCTATCACTGGATCACCGCCTTTGCGTTACATATGCCCCTTGGGCTGATATTTCAATTTGGGTCGATTTAAAGAACAGTTGCCAAGATATAATTGGGTGCGGCACCTGCTCTTGCCATGCCACTGATCGCGGTTTCGTTTAGGGACTGTATTTCGTGCGGCGGGATAGGCATAGGCATCATTTGCTCCATCGTGGTTGTGTTCGCAGCTTTCCACAACCACAGACCACTAAAAAACCGTCATAGAAGCACAGCTGCTGAAGTAACAGCATGATCATTGTCATCACCATTATTTTCTCTATCCCTTTAGATTGTGACGGTAAATGGACAATCGCAATTGCGTGTTGACCTGCGACGCTTTCGCGACTCATCTGTGACGTATTCCCGTCGGTTCTTGTACCAGCCAGCATGAGCACAAACCATGCAGACTTTCCTAATCTTACTCGAGCGGCGCTATTTTAGAGCGACTTCTTAATAAGGTGTGACCTTCAGTTATCGTATATGAGAAAATACCATTCTTTCCGCGCCCACCAGCGACGCGTAGACGGCCTCTTCAGGCGGTGCAAGCATAGTCTATTGCTTTTTTGATATATTGATAGCGCAAAATCCTGTCACACCCTTCACCTGATCAAAGATCGCAGTGCTGTTTGATATAGAAAGCGACACCTTTGTTTCTTTTGCATTTACGTTATAAATCATGGCAAATAATTACTTGAGGCAGTTTTCTGACTGGGCGTGTGTGAATATGTCCCCCGTTGACAGTTGATTTCGCAGTACCAGAAAGAGATATGCTCAAAACTTGATCCGAAAAGTAGAATTATCTTTAGAATAGAGAAAATGGTAGTATTAGGGGTACCGTTAAGAGGGTGTACCGAATAATGAGTGCGGATTCCATACGCAAGGCTGTTTGATGACACACAAGAGTCCTGTAATAAGGAGGGGTGTGTAAGTAGCAAAGCATCTTTATATGGCATTTTGTATGCATGAGTGTGCAGTATGTAGTTAGAGAGGTTACGGTACTCAAGGAGGGGCCTCTATTTCAGGGCTGTGTGTACGTATCAAAGGGTGAATTCGTCTCATTATACTGTTTAGACATCATCGCCAGAGGTTATTCGGTTGGATATTTCGGCTATTCGTCGATTCGAATTACTCGATTTTGGTCCCCGGGGAACTCGAACCGGAGTCAGAGTCTTTATCGTTAGCGTACTAAACCACTACACCAGGGGACCACCCTTACACCAGGGGACCACCCTTGTGTACGTATCAAAGGGTGGGTGGGTACCTATATTTCTCAAATATTTATTGTATGCCTTTGATGAATGGTCTTAGATTAAATTTACATCCAAACTGCCAAGGGGGGTCTTTGACGGAGGGCCCTTGATGGTGCAATACAAATTACAAGCTCTCAGTCTATTTCTAGCTGGCGCAGCTGTTGCCTTACCCATTTTTAATGTGTCTTTGTCTCGGGTTCATTTAAGAACGACCCAACGGTCTAGCGCGTACCACGTTTGGTACTTCGGAGTATCATGCCATCTATTTGTGCCGCCAAAAACGACACTAAAAGCAAGCATTCGTGCCACCGACTCTTCATTTCCTTTGCTTCGATCTCTGCCCGGTCGGCTGCTGATACGAGTGCAATTGCGACAACGGTCGCTAGAGCTGCTGCTGCGTTGCAATTTAACAATTTGCACATGCACACATACAACTGCAGACACCTGTCCCCAAGCTCTCTACGAGCTCGGAAATGAAAGCCCAACTTTCTTGAGACAAGTGAGACATATCTGCATGGAGACGAGGTCGACGGCATGTAGCTCCACTAGCTCCTTGGATACACAAGCTTTACAAACGACATGACCACACGCGTGACAGTTTACGCGGTGGGAGAGTACTTGGAAGTGTTTCTTACACCGCTTGCAGCTCTTCGCAGCCCTTTTTGACCGCCACTCGGTCTTCATCACGAATGTGCGCGAATCCAGCTGCTTGCGACGAAAGTGCGCACGGAGGCGAGCGAGGTTCGCGCCAAACTTTTCCATTAGCAGTCTTGAGGTCAGGCCGGGTGCCCAGCCACCGTGTTCCGATTCCACCACGTACACGACCTTCGTGTAGCCTTGAATAGACCCACCAGTCGATGAACGAGTTTGGCCTGGGCCTTGAAGAAAAAATCCCGCACGAAACGGGGCACAATGCTCAAAAATGTTGGCAGCTTCGGCGAATTCTGGGTCATTCACGGTATCCCAGAAACAAAAACCGATAGCGGAGCCATCAGGCTGGCGAATCAATTCGGTAGCAATGGCACCGCACATCTCCCGGGCTGTCAATAATTCAGGGGCCTGGCAGCTCACATACCTCACGTACATGGAGTTCATCGGTTGCTCTTGCGTCGGCTGGCGCAGGACTGATAAGACTCGGGACTCATGCAAGCTGCCCGAGAGCACGCGGTTGTTCCGAGCCATCGTATCAGGATCAGACACTTGAAAAAGCTGTACGAATTCGTCCACCGTCGCGTGAATTTGGGTCACACAGCAGAATCTTGCTTGCCCAAGCCCGACACTATTTTCGTCCATGTAATACGAAATGTCTTTCTTGTGAAACTTATACTTCCACGACACATTGCTGTATTCATCCGAAAGCACCGACGCCATCACGTTTCGGACCGATTCATCCAGACGGGAAACGATCTCGCGACGACGGATTGGAGGCAGCTCAACGTAAGTCTCCGTGCTGCCAGTACTGTCGGATGTGCTACCGCGATGTTGCTGACATTGCCAGAATGTTACTGATTTATGCTGCGATGGATGTAGACGTTGCTGTGTTGGAGTACCGTCTGTAACTTCGGTACGGTCGGACGATGTTGACATCGATCGCCTTAGGAACTGCTCGAAGCTGCTGTCCAGAATCTGCAGCGGTATTTGAGCACGTGGGTTCGAGCACTCGTACGAGTGCTGGAGCTGCTGATGCAATTCTTGATCATCAATGGATCGACGCTTAGGACCTGGCCAAAGCGACTCGATCAAAGATTCAAAGTTGTCACCGTGTTCTTTGGTAGTCGGGTGCGACGGCCGCGACTGCAGGGAAGTATTCGAAGGCCGGTGAGCTACCCACATAGTTCGCTGAGGCTCTGGCGAGGAATATGGGGGATCTTGGGAATAACTCAAAGACTCTTGAGCCCGTGTCGTATTCGATCTCGAAGCAGAGCGCTGTCGTCCCATACGTGTGTCTTTCCCGTCCTGTCCCAAAAGCTGTTGAGGCTGCGAAGGCTGCTGAGGTAGACTCATGGCCCGGCGGGTGGTCCGTGTGCTGAGATTGACGGTCTGCTCGAAATGTTGACGTATTTGCTCAAAATCACTTGTAGCATGTCGTGACGGCCGTGTAAAACGCTTAGCGCTAACGCTCACGCCCCAATCAGGCTCATCTGGTAAGTCCTCGGTGTCCCGCTTCGATGCCGGCCATCCACCCTGGGCCCTCATCGTTATAAAGGTTCTGGTGCAGTTACCTTGAACAACCGACGTAGGTGACTGACTGCAAACACGCTTCTGCCTCTAGGCGTGAGGCAAGCTTGTCGAACGCACACAGTTTAATTCAAGGGTTGAGATTGTCTCAACTTTTATAAAAGTGAGTAACATTATTCGAGCTGCCTGGGGTTGATAGGTGGAGCAGCTGCTACACATCATCGCGCCTGTGCCTCCATCCATCATCTCCATGAAAAGTGGGATCATTTGAACCGGGTACAAAACCTGTTAAAACATACAAGTGTCAATGTGAATACTTTTTGGCGAATAGAATTTACCCTTTCTAATGGAAGGGGATCTATAGGGTTGTTTTAATCGGCAGTAGTTGACATTTTCATACTGAAAACCTAATGTTTGCCTCATGTCAAATGTCACGCCGTCAAATAATGAACGACGTCCCCACACTAGGGAATTAACATGCGGTCATTCACAATTATGAAGAAGCACGTTTCGATTAACTTACACGACATGATCATATCTGCAGGAATCACAGCGTTTGCACGTGCTCCGATGAGACATACGTACAAGTTTGCGCATGAAGCACTAAAGCTATTATCAGCGAGTAGACAAATGAAAATAGAAATCGTATTGGACAGTCCAAATGGAGGAGTTTGCTTTTGAGAGCTCATTTGGCAACAACGTCCTTATTTTGAAGAACATTATGACCAAAAATACTGCATTTCACACCTTCTGCAGAGTATGCCAGGTCAACACGGTCACACTTTGCTGCTCTAACACTAAAGAGCATAATGTTGATATCGCCGTTCCTTACATTCAACTATGTGTATCATCTTTTCGGAGACACACATAAAGGTGCCGACTGCACTTCCCAATTTGCGCCTTCGGGCAACAACGGCCAAGCGACAAAGACCTCCACAGAGCCGGACAACCGGCCCCTTTCCTGGGTGGGAAGTCCCCTATAATGGGGCCCAGGTTAAAGGCGGGAGGCCTTCTAGCCGCTGCGTGCGCTACGGGAGGCAGCGCAGCGTGCGAACCGCAAGGGGAGCAACAACCCAGACATCCCGGGGTGAGGGCGCGTCGCCAGCGGTTGTCAACCTCTCACCTAGTTCCTGCTATTCTACGTCAGCTTCCAAGTCGCCGGCCCGGTCGCCGAGCGCGACTCTCGGTCCCACGAAGCGAAGTTGCCTAGAACGTGATTCTGATCGGGACCGTCCAGGAGCACCAGCGGCCTATCGGGGGTGATCGGTTTGATGTCCGACGTTTTCTGCGATTTCCGCGCCCTGTCTGCCCCCAGGACTGGATACCTGTTTCCACGTGCCCTCGGCTGAGTGTCCCCCGTGATGCCCGACGTCTCGAGCCAGCAGACTTGGCCAGCGAGGAGGAGATTGATGTAGTCTAGGTAGAAGCACACCGATATCGTGTAGTTTTCAAATACTTAATCGACGTTCAGGTTTCTCTCTCTCATAAAGGTGCCGACTGCTCTTACCAGCCAAGATCCAGCTAAACTGCAACCATCTCTCGACGAGCATGCTATCGGCCGTGCGCAAAGATAAGGTGCGTCAGACATGATACTTTCGTGCTTGTCAACAACCAAATGACGGTACTTGCTCCCTCGTGAATCCGCAAACTCTGGTGTAGCAACAGACATAAGCCGGATCCGCGTTGCAATTGTTCTTGCAAAGACACTGCTTATCAGTTAGTATCACTATTTACGATGCAGCTGTCGTCGTGGTGCCAACAGTGCGAGACCTTTGATGCCCCAGAGCGTCAAGCCAAACCGATCAGGGCGGTGCAGTGGGATGGCCACGGCGGTTTTGACCGGAAGGTTATGGGAGTCCCAGCAGATGGAAAGCTCTATCCAGGCTAGGATCGGTTGCAAAGCCGCGCCACCAACTGGACTCTCGAATGGGTCGCAGCCGGTAGACAATGTGAAGCGAGCGTGCAAAAGGTACGCCACGGAGTCGCAAATCCTGTAAGTTACTGATCGCAGGTATCTGGGAGTTAAGGACCGTAAGGGAAACTTCCTGGGTAGAAAGAAACTACCCAGAGCGTCAAGCCACTGACTGTTTCGCACCTTCAGCCAGTCACGTGCGTCTGCGCTGGATGCGCCACTTCAGAGCCTGGCGCGGTCGGCGATCAATATTCACCGTAGCTCACTTTTGACAAAAAGAATCGAATGGTCTGGCCCATATGTTCCAACAAATTTCGTCGCCTGTGCGGTAGATACATGCGGTGAGCAGCTGCATGCTATATGCTGCTGTACACCATTCGACTATCTTTGGGTAAAGCGGTAGACACATCGCAGCCTGAAACATAAAACAAACCTTTTTCCCGTAGCAACGCATCTCAGACGACAAATACTTTGAGTATGGTAACATTTACTCGAGTGAGCTGAAGAATCTAGGAGGGGTTTCATGATCAACTACTTACGTTTTTAACATGAGCCGGATATCTGGAAAGTCTGAGCCAGAGAGCTGAGCAATGTATCAGGAGTCGACAAGTCGAAGCGCCTCGTCTATTACGGCTGCGTGATGCAGCGTTATAAATCAAGAAGTACGTGAGAGCGACAGGGCGACGTGGGTATAGCCCTGATAGACCAGAATATCGTGATGCTATGGGTGACGCTCATTTGCGCAACCGCGACCGCGATCGTCGCGATCACTTTGATAGCAACGAATGTTTAGCCGGTTTTACAGTGACCGTACGCAGGTGGTAGGCGCCTTAGATATGATGTGAACTATCTCCCGAAGAGCATTGTTGTAAAACGGGTGAGCTTGTTACATACCATTGGCACGAAAATCGGTAAATGTAAATAGTACTTTTTGTTTACTATGTCTCAGATACATACCTTGTTTAGTAAAATACAAAGGAACATTGCTGTCAAACGTAATATTCGACACCCACCTGTTCTTTGATTTGGGTCATTACAAAAAAATAAAATACCGACCGCAACCAGACGCGCGCGAAAGGTGGTGAGCGAGTAGATAATTATTTATATTTTAGAGTTTACTATGGTCTGAATACGATCGAAAGAGGGATATTTTAAAGACTTTAACGATACAAAGGCAGTTCTACTTTTTCCGTTCTTCTGAAATCTGTTTGTCAAATATGTTATACAGTAGAGTCATCTTTATACAGTAAAGCTGGGACCATCAAATTTTTAATTAAATAAGGGAATTATTGAATAGCAGAGTTAGGGGGTAAAATTGAATTGAAAGGTCCTACATGTTGTGATAAAGGCGCCTCGGCATGATTTCCGCACATGAGCTTGTAGCTCAAGTGATTTGGTGTAGCAGCACCAAGCGAAAGGTCACCGGTTCGATAGCCGGTGACTGCAGTAAAAATTTATCGCCTTCGGGTTCTGGTGTGCAGGGTTCCACCAGCACTGTCCTGCCAGGCAGTAACGTCCCCCACTTGAGACACATGTAATTATTTGCTAGAAACACACTACCTAACAGGAGACTATAGAGGAGTTTTTAGGGATGATTTAGAAGGTGCAGGATCAGGTGGGAAAGCTTCAGCGTAATCCCATAAGCAACAAACTTAAAATAATTATTTTGAAGTGGTCCCTCGGGAGCAGTTTAATTTTTGTTTGGCGAAAACTTCTCTGGCTTTAACGATAAGAATCAAGGGAGTTTTTAATATTTGGCCTGGGCCCAACATGGAACTCGAAAAGTTTAATAAGTAAATAATTTTTTGAAATAAAAGAATAAAAATGACGGGAACTCTACTGATCTTGTGTACAAGTGAGGTTTCGTGACATGCGTACACTGTGGTCACATAGATGTCGGGTTTGGTATCGGTGCTGTTATACGAGTTGTGCATGCACTATAGCGAAAACTTAAACGATATTTTTAATTGAACAGCAATTTAATTGGACCGGGTATGATAAGTTAGGCTCCATACAAATTGACTTCCGGGTGAAATCTAAAAGTAGTTCTGTAGGGTCACATGGCATATACACGTGCCAATTGCCTGGCTGTAGCCGATGGATCATCTTTTGTGCAGATCCGAAGTGCATTATATAATTGGTCAACACGTTGTATGTGCCTAGTTTTACAAAATAAATGCTTTCGTCGTAAAGTAAACAAGGCCCCTGTAACGATCAATATTCTTAATGAAATAGCTCAAAAGTGGCCGCGACGAAGTGCGAGCAAGCCATTAGTGCAGATTGTACATCTGTTTATATTTTTATTAGATTTAAAATCATTGCAAACGGACCTATTACCTCATCGAAACTACGTGTTTACATGTCGATATCGTACCAACTAAAAGTCTTTCCCCTCGCTTGCGGCAACGAAGCCTGCGACGTGTTACACCCACTCAATTGGATATAGCGTAACGATTACAATAACATGTTTAGCTAAGTAAAAATAATCCTACACGATGGGACTATTACAATTAGCACTTGGTGCTCAGGATAGGCTTTATCGTCTGTCAAGGAACGCGGTCTTTGTTGAAC